ATTATATATATATGTGTGTGTGTGTGTGTGTGTGTGTGTGTGTNTAGTGTGTGTGTGTGTGTGTGTGTGTGTGTGTGTGTGTGTGTGTGTGTGTATGTATATATATATATATGATTTTTTTTTGTGTTCGTATGAGTGCATGAATATATTCAAATCATAAACATTTGAAAATAAACTTACGAGTTACTTGCGCAATAAACCATGCATACAGAGATAATAAATAGTAACTTACATGTAGTTGTAGGAATATGATGGGATAAAGTACGAAACCTTCACGTAGGTTAGTACATATATCAATATACAGCACAATATATATATCTACTAGTAAAAATATGCTTGCACGCCGTCTATTCAACTATAATGAAGTCAAATACACGTGTCGTAGACAAAATTGTCAGAATAAATTGACATAGCCCACCGTCCATTTGACATAGTGTTACGATATGCATCGCACGCTACCTCCCTAAACAATCGCATTAAAGAGAACACGCAGAAAATAAATATACCTCCAGCAGTGGAGAAGTCTCAATGGACGCAAGCATCTCGTCGCTGTCTTTCTTAAAGTCCACTACATCTAAATTACCCCAACCCGCATCAAAGAACGGCGTGACCAGTTTCTGGTTCATAAATAAGCCGTATGTATCGTCTATCAGTTGTCCTACTGCCGCCCCGGCCTGGGGCCGTTCCTCTAACCATTTCACCAGACGAGGGCGTTTGTTAATCAGTTCATTCAAGTGGAGTGTTTGTATGTGTGTCTTCTGGGGAGTGGCCACGTGATTGGCTCGTGTGGTTCGCTTGAGGGAACCACACAAGAGAGGTCCTACACCTCGGGTTTTCCTAGCATTCAGAGCCAGGCGTGTCTGCATGTTCACTATACAAGGCAATCGATATACTAGCGCTATCTAGCACTGCCGCATCGGCAAAGGCTCCCTACGTGTACATCTGAGAAATATATCCTCTCGTGCCGTCAATTTTAAAAGTAAGGCCCTCAAGACACATAAAATAGCCCCCTTTTTCTAACAAAAAAGAATATAAGATCACATGATCTATATATTTTTTAAATTAAATTCTATTAAAGAAGCATGTCTCAAAAAAATCGAGAAACACCCGACACTGACACTGACACTGACACTGACACTGACACTAACAGCCGACATCCCGATAGGCACAGCCTACTACGGCACTACGCCCTACGCCCTACTACGTACCAGAGGCGACAAATCAACAGCCCCTACTCCCCACTCCCCACTCCCCACTCCCCAGGCCCAGGGCCCAGGGCCCAGGGCCCAGGGCCCCAGTATCCAGTCCCTACTTATACTCTGCAGTATATACATATTTATGTATAATAATAAAAGTTGCATAAAAAAAAATAGAAGGCTGAACGATTACGGATTTAAGAACCACTGAGGGCGGGAAGCCGGAAGGCCCCCCCTGATCGTGTCTCCGAATATTTATCACGACTTCAAAAGTTTTCTGAGAAAGCTCAAACAGCTCTCGCTTGTGAGTCTTGTCACTTCTTGTGAGTGACTTCAAAGTTGAGACTAGTGAGAGTTGAGAGCAGGTAGAGACTAGTGTATAGTATGTATCAGAATTCAGATATGAGAGTCTTGAGACTGCTTCAACTCTCTTTGAGTTCAGACTTCAGAGACTTATTATTGTCTTGAGACTTTGAGTGTTGAATTTTATAGGAGGCTATGTATTTAATATGTATGGTTTGATTTTTTAAAAATACGTGTATATATGCAATAAATACATCCTCTCTCTTGTGAAGTTGTGTCAGTGTTTAGTGTGTACACATTCGACTATTAATTGTCGACAGACTGTGTGCCTGTGTGGAGATTGTTGGATTGGAGAACTGGTTAAATATGTATTTACTGGTGGAGTGACAGAGATTTGTGGTCTCTCTTTGATTTATATTCAAAATTTGAACTGGGGCACTGGCCACTGGGCTACTGGACCCTGGGGGCCTGGTCACCTGGAGTTTGAGACTTGAGAGCCTGGGGCGCTACCGCGCTGGAGTAGCCAGCACAGCTGTTCTTCTGTAGCCTGTGGGACCGTAGGGCTGTAGCCTGTAGGAGTGACTGTGTAGGACTGCCGGATTATAGGGCAACGCAATATCCAATATTTTTCCACCTGTAAGTGCTATTTATTCAAAGCTCATCTTAACTGTGCTATCTAGTATGTTTGTTTGTTTTTCCACCGGCCCACGGACTTGACAACAACTTGCTGACGAATGGCCAGCTACGATAATCGTCTTTGTAAACTTGAATTGTGGAGGTATCTCTGTATCAAAGATACCAGGTCTGACAGTTCCTGTGTCGAGAGCATTCTCTCGAGCATATAATATAGTGTTTAGAATTAGAATCATACAGTCTAGCTAAGCTAGCATACCACAATCAGAACAATGCTCACATTTCCGGTGGGATACAATCGTGGGATGCAATTTCAATTCATTCTGACTTCTCCATCTTTCTGCACAAGGCAGCGTTTGACATGTTTATAATTAGATTGATATCTATTCAGGTACACTTCGCTTAGCTCCCGTCATATGACAAAGAACGAGAACAAATTCTTTCAATAAACGGAAATGGATACTTCACATCGCCAACTCGTTGTAAATCTTGCACATGAAACTTAATTTTGGCTAACACGAACACGAACATCACCCAACATAACGCGTCGCAGGCCCTGACACGGAATAACTAATAATCTTACGCAAACGTATCCTTCTCGCTTGGGAACCGCGAACCACGATGTACATTAGGGTGCTTTCCAATTCATTCAGTCACTGTTTGTCAGAAGCGAACGACACAACATGAAATTCAAAAACACGAAGCGACGATTGAACAAACTCTGTACAAATTTTGACATTTCGTCTACAAACACAAGCTTGGAGGGCTAGCGCAGAATCTTGCGTGGGTGTAGGCACGTGATTTCCTATAATTGTGCAACATTGTCACGCACATCACTTGCAGGACACTTGAAAGATTGGAGTACTCGCACAAGGGCACATTGCGCATAGTATGGAGACTTTGGATCCGAACCAGGTTCAAACCGCACTTGGAATTGGCCTAAAGTTTATAGGGAACGAGAATTGCAACGTCATCCAACTTGGAAGGAAGCCGGATGACACGCTGTATATTGTGCGGACTATGGCGATTCCCCACAATTGAAGTCCGGTCTCATTCAAGACATTCGAGACTATTTAAGAACAGAACTATCGATTCCTTCCAACCAGGGATTTATTTGACTTGTGCCGGTCAGGCACTGCCTCTTGAGGGAGATGTCGAAAGATACACACTGCTGGTCATGCCATTAATCCTAACCGTACGCACAGCCGGTAACGAGTCTGTGTGGTGTGATCTTTTCGTTAAACATCCGACTGGAAACCCATTTTTAATCGGATTCCAACGAACCTATACACTATATAGTTTGGGAGGTGAAGGAGAAGTTGGCATCCTTTTACAGTGTGCCTGCTTCTCAACTGGGATTGATTTATCGTGGTAAGTAAATGAGGGACGATGATGCGCTCGGTGACTATGATGTGCGAAATGGTGACACACTACACATCGTTTTGAAAGTTCGTGGCGGGAGTTGTTTTCAACAGTTCTCGGTCGTAGACCTGGAGCAAGGAGGAGCCGTGACATGACCATTCTCGAAGGCGGCACCTGAGTGGCGAGTAGCCGGCCCTGGTCTGTGCTTGGAGGGGGAGTGTACGAGTCGAGAATGCGATACCAAGTAATGGTTAACATGGGTTTCGCTTATTTCAATTTCGTATGGGATGCCCACAAATCTTGTTGCCCTTTGTGTGACAAACATGTGGTGCCTGCTACGTGCAGATTTAATAACTGCCGCTACTTCTGGTTTGGACTCAAGCCTGGTAAAACCCCCAAGGGAGCACCACGCAAAATCACCGCACGCTCCATCGAAATGTGTGGCGACGCGTACACTCACTTCCGCGGTGATGTCTCAGGTGTAGTGGAATTAATAAATCTCGTGATCGTGTGCAGACCCAGCGGCTGCACTGAGATGAGGTACCTCCATATCGAATGAGAGTACATACATCGTTGCCTGTTTGCACAACGGCCTTCAACGTATACGGAAGGAGCGCTAATACGGAGTGTATCTCACGTCTCGAAACTATTTATTTAAGATTAGAATACACAAGTTGCAGTCTCGGCATTGCGACCCTTAGCGAGCTCTATTTATTACCATATCAAATAATCAAAGCATGGTATAAAGGGTGGAAAGAAAAACTTCACCTGCATACTAAAATATTACTTCCTGTATGTTATAAAAGTCAGTTTCTACAATATATATCATAAACAATACGATTGAAGGCATAAATATTTCCACTAGAACGTAGCTTTCAATCGCTTTTATATCACATCGTGTTGACAATCTTAGAACGGCATATGACTGGTGCCCTTTGCTTCGCCGATCACAATCAGATCATGTTAAGTGCAATATCCGCTGTGCAAATAGCTGTAACACAAACACACTCATACGGTCGTGTCATTCGATCACGGAGACTTTTCAGTGTTAAAACTCGTGCACTCCGGCTTGTTCAATGACAGTCTACAGCTACTAGCATAGCTGGTTGTCAGTGCTTCTATACATTGACGAATACGCTAAAAATGCGAGACTCCGGGATTTGAGCATAGATTCATGATATTTTAACTACAAAATCTGTTGTCGATGAACGGATATGTACTTCGGGAACTCTCAGTATACACTCAACGTCGATGTTTTGTATGATATACATATTCCTCAATCTCCAGCGCGTTTCACAAATAACTTCAGATATCGTTAATCTTTGGTTAAAGAGTCTCACTGTTTATGGGCTTAAGTTCGGTAGTACAACACCATATAGTCTACTGTGTGTGTCTTTAAACTGATAGGGACTTTTGGACGTGCTATCGTCATGCATTTGCGCCATAGATCGAGCGCGTCGCATGTACCCTAGCCAGTGACCTGACTCACCCCAACACAATGCTATACCCCAAGCAACAAGCATTCACAGCGTCCACCTGAGACCAGACCAGTTTTAGTGAATGTCGTAAACCTCGGTAGCCCCGCACCCACTCAGACACAGTAGCATCCAGGATTGGATTCGATTATTGAAGAAACAAGTTTCGACCCTGGGAGGTGAGTGCTGTTTCGTATAGGTCACTGATAGGTTGTGAGTGCCAACATCGTTGACTGGTAAGTGTCGAAGAAGGTTCCAGAACAACAGTAAGAGCCTACAATAGCACAAGAGCTGCTACAGAATCCTCCTGTAAACGATATGAATCTACTCGTTGACGTTGAACACGACCGCGAATGGGTTCGTTTCCCGCCTTGGTGTGCTAAATCCGTATTTGTTTATTTCTACTCAATTTAAACTTTAAGTACTGGAATTGGCGTCAGGGCCGGCTTTCACATTGGTATCTGATTGAGACGAAGGTGTTGTGGGAGCTTCTGCGGTGCTAGTAGTTTCACTAGTTTCATTTGCCGGTGTAGTCCCGTTGCGTCCAGCAATTGAGGCTCTTTCAAGGTTCTGCAGCCTGATGCGCAAGGCTTGCGTTCTTGCTTCTGTACGAGGACGTGGAAACCCGAGTTTAAAATTATGGCTCAAAACACGGATGAAATAGCACCAATCATCTACATATATGACGCAATCACATTTATAGACCATAATCTGCATTTATGTGGCAAAACTAACTTGCATCACGAACACAGCACGATGGTGAATCAACACATCTGACACACTCAGGCATCTAACAACACACTTGACACAGTGAGACGTACCTAACTCAGCTGTGGTCGGCAGATGTCCCCCCGGATTGGCGGCGGCCGTAAGCACACGCGCTTGAGCCGCCCCCGTTTGCACACCTAGGGCCTGTGGATTTATAGTCATGATCCCGTTGGCATCTCTAGAAGAAGGGATACGTAACAGGGTTCCGTTGGGCATCCTACGATACGCCACCCCATTCCGGATCACCAGGCTCATCTGCACCCGGCCTGCAGGAACAGGACCCGTTGATGGTACAGACACCCTCATAGTACGTCTCTCTGCAGTCGGTACGCTTGCCTGCACAACAGACACGGGTCGCACATCCGACACGGCGATAGAGTATGTACCATCCGTCCCGGTCCTTGAAATGGTTGGAACTGCGCCCAGTGAAGCTGCTGTGGTTTGTTCTGGCAAGCCATCGGTGTGTGGTGGAGAACTGATTGTTGATCCCGTTGGGGTGGTCATCGCGTCTGAGACTACTGATGCGGAAGCAGCAGTCGATGTGCTGTCCGGGGCGCCCTGTAGCGTATTGGGATCAGCAGCACTAGCCATCGTTGCCGATAACATGTCCTCGACGTCTCTTAATAGAGATATGAGTAGATTTCCTGTTGTAGGAGCTGGCTGCGGGGTTTCGTCAGGCAAATTTGCGCGCGTGTATATGATATCCTCGCGCATCATAACCCAGATACGCCGCTCTTCTTCAGTTATGTGCGTAGTAGCTACATCAGTGTGCTGTTTTATCATCCTCATCAGACGCAAAAGCAACAGAGTCACATGGTCGCATCGCTCGGCATGGTCTACCTGCCCTATCCGCTGCATGCGGAGGGCCGACAGTACGGTTTGCAGGGATACACTGTCGGCTGCAGGTAACCTGTGCTCCACCAAATGGAACAGCCGCTGGAGTACTGATAAGCGGTTCCCTATATACCGCAAATCCCTACTTGGGGCTGGCGCTGCAGTTGACGATGCGGTGCTGGATAACGCCGGTACAGCTGGTACCACTACTGTCCTTGGCGTAGCTGATGAGACCGTCCCCCTCGTTTCTGTCAGGGTTACAGGTGCCGGATGAGCTACATGCGTGGTAGTGGGCTCTGTGACCGCTGATGTGGATCCATCCGTCCCCACAGCCACTTCAGTACTACTAGTGCGCGCACTTGTCGCATGTTGCTCGCTCGCGCTATCCGTGGTAGACGCAGTACTACTAGTGCGCGCACTTGTCGTAGGTTGCTCGCTCGCACTATCCGTGGCAGACGCAGTACTACTAGTGCGCGCACTTATCGCAGGTTGCTCGCTCGCGCTATCCGTGGTAGACGCAGTACTACTAGTGCGCGCACTTGTCGCAGGTTGCTCGCTCGCGCTATCCGTGGCAGACGCAGTACTACTAGTGCGCGTACTTATCGCAGGTTGCTCGCTCGCGCTATCCGTGGTAGACGCAGTACTACTAGTGCGTGCACTTGTCGCAGGTTGCTCGCTCGCGCTCTCCGTGGCAGACGCAGTACTACTAGTGCGCGCACTTGTCGCAGGTTGCTCGCTCGCGCTATCCGTGGTAGACGCCCCTTCTGCAATCCTTGCCTGCTGCACCTGGGAGCTTGTACTTGCTTCGGATTTCTTCAGAATGCCCTGCAACCTACGCTTCTCCGCCGCCATCCGAGCGTTCAACTCCAACAGCCTGTCCAGAACATTATCCTTACCACCGGACGTATCAGCGTCAGTGGCGGTTGGCGCATTGTCCTGGGCTGTACCTCTGGCATGGTCTTCCACCGCAGGGGCAGCTGCACTGTCCAAGGAAGTATCGGCAGATCCTACCCCGTTCGCGCTTTCATCGAGGGGTGTGTCTGATGAGTTCGTTGCTATGTCAGACGTGTTTATCCTCGGTACCTCAGTGCTCGTCTGCGTCGGATTCTGTACAGTCGGTGTCGGATTTTGAGCCGCCGACGTCAGATTTTGCGCAGCCGGTGTAGGATTCTGAGTCCCTCTGGCAGAATCGGGTCGGATGGTCGCGCGGCTCGGAGCCTGAGATACTATCCTAATCGTACGCGTGGTCGCCGGCTGTGTCTCTGGGGGCGTGTGCGCGTGCGCATGTGCGTGTGCGTGTGCGTGTGCGTGTGCGTGTGCGTGTGCTGACTGGGCCTGAGCCCGCGCACACTCTGGTCCGTGGACGTGGGCGTGGCCCCCTGCCGGCGGCTGAGTAGGCGCAGTCCCACCTGTCGCCGTAGTTGAACTTGTCGCGGCGCGCCTGTTCAAAGTCCATACACGCCTTGTATGCCCAGTATCCCCACCCCCAGCATCCCCACCACCGCCCGTACCTCTCGCCCGCGAGTCCATGAACGGCACAGGCAGTCGGATGCCGTCCGAGGTCAACCACGCCTTGCCCGCCACATAGGGATCGTCTGCTAAGCTGAAGAATGACGCCACTTCTGCGCTCTCCTCCGCGGGGCTGCGCGTAAACGGCAGGATGTTCCGCGACATCGCCGCCCAATCGCTCTGCGCTTGGACGACCGTATCGGACAGTGCCGGTGCCTGCGCTGGTTGTGTCTGAGTCTGCGGTGGCGTTGGTGTCTGTGGTTGTGTTTGGGGTTCCGATGCATTGGAAGTGACTGCTGCCCCCTCCGGATTATCCGCCAGCTTGTAGTACACACCATTCTGACACGAAAGCGCCAGCACCACACCCGCCCTCTGAAGGTTCATGAGCTGCTCATCCTGGGCCTCGTACGTGGCCATGTTTGCTGCGTGCAGGCTCTCAGCCTCCCACGTGTACGAGAAAGGCGGGCCAGGCAAGCTAAACTCTTCGTACGGTACGCACTCACGCTCTAACACGTCCAGCGTCGCCTGCAACACGCTCGCCAGGTTACTCTTCCACGACAGGTACCCCATCGACCACTTGACCAGCGCGTCAGTCCCGTCACTTGCGCGCCCGCGCGCGGCACAGCGCCGCACGTAATCTCTGGCGTCCGAGGCTAAGGCTATTGACCGCGCGTTGCTCACGTCCACGCCGTGGTGCGTGTTGTTTGCATCGTGGACGGGCGCGTGTAAATGTGTGTGGCCAGTTTCACGGCCTTGGGCGCTGGCATAGTTACGCCCAAACACCTCGGTGTTCAGTTCGGTGCCCTGGGTGAGCAGGTGCACCGTCTGTACGTCCACCACTGTGTCCGGGGGTGTGTTGTCGGGCCCCGATGGTGCGTGCTGGTGCCTGCCCTGCGACTGCCGCTTGAGGGCCGAAAACAACAGCAGGTCTCGGTGTATCTTGTGGATGCAGTTGACCAGCAGCGCGACCTTCCGACAGGTATTGGGCGATTCATTGAGTATATAAGACACCACGGACACCAACAGCCGTCCCGAGGGCAGCTCGGCATCGCGCACCCGCGCAGCATAGTCCGTGTTCTCATTGTCATAGGTCCCATAGAAGTCACACAGCGTGGTGAACTTCAGCTGCACGTGCCGGATCTTCGCTCTGTACTGACTCATCAGCTGGCGACAGCTCTCAAAGGCCTTTGCCCGCATGAGCAGTATGCTGGTCAAGTTCGGGTACCCCACTGCCACCTCTCGCAACATGTCCCATATATCAGCCGACCAACGGAACTCATCCTCGGCGAACACCGGCCAGTAAGTGCGCAGGATGTCGAGCTTCAGCATCTCGTGCTCCACCGTCACCTCCGCCAGCTTCTGGTACGTCTGCATCAGCGACAGCAGCACCGCCACGCGCTCCTTGTTCAGGTCCTTCGGGTCCTGGGTGCGCCGCGCACGCTCCAACCGCTGCAAGCGCAAGCGCAGCCAAGCGTCGTCGATCTCCTTCTGCGCTTCTTCAGAACGCCTACCCTGTAGAATCGTCTGCAGCAAGTCGTCGCCCCAGGCCTCGGTGCGCGTCGCGCCTGCGCGGCTATTCGCATCGATGGTGTTCAGATGCTCTCCTCGAAACATGTGCTCGAGGATTGCATCCATCTGTGTGATGCAGTGATCCTGGGGCGCTTGCGGGCTGTCTGTCTGCGGTCCAGCGTTGGCGTGGTTGAGTGCTGGTGCCTGGTCTGTGTCTGCTGCGCTGCTGGGTGCGGCTGGCGTAGGGCCGGGTGTCTCGGGCGGAGTGTTGTGAGTCACTGGTGTGGTGTGGTCTGTCTCTGTGGTAGGGCTGTGTGTCTCACCTGTCTGATTGTCTGTGTGTGTTGGGGTGCTATCGGTTAAAGCAGCAGAGCTGTTTGTGTCTACTGTTTGGCCTACTACGGGTGGTGTAAGGCTCTCGGACTCCACAGCAGGACTAGTTGCCTGTCCCGATTGGCTTTCGGTCGGGGGCGTTGTGTGCCCTGTCCCCGGTATTGAAGGACTGGACTGGGTGGTAGTGCGGTCTGTATCTCCTGTGGGTCCCCTGGAGTCTGTGGGGGTGCTGACTATCTGTGGTGTACGACTGCTAGACGTGTCCGATGTCTGCGCATCGGTGGCTGGGCCTTGTGCCTGTCCGTCCAATTGTGCGTCCATTGATAGGCCGCGCTTTTCCCTATACAAGATGGAGGATGCATGGTTAGGCTGTGGTTGACTTGGCTGAAGGTGTGAATACAGTCGTAGTGTGCGACTATAGCCAGTATGTTGTTTGGTTGCATTGTGTGATGCTAAGGCGCTGTTCGCATTTTATGCATCCTTTGTATGCTGATGAGACAACAACTATCCTATCACAGCCTTAAAAGTTATAGGGTATCATTGAAATTGCCTGACTGTATGATATAAGTGCGTGTGCCGAACTTGCACAGACTTGAGCGAAATGGGGTATAGACACAGTAGTTATTTGTGCGCTCACTACATAATGGGCAGACAGTGTGAGTATCTTGGCATCCTATCATTCATTTGCAAAGTTTATGGAATCATCAATAGTACTGGTTGGCTTTTGTTATCATTAGCATCCGAACTTTGCAACTGTAATGGTTGTTCTGGGCAACGTTCAACTGCGACAGCCGCGAAGACGCCCTACAATATGCGGTGTTGTGTGCAACAAAAGCACTCAGAGTCATTCGGAAGTAGAGAGTGCAGATATGATATACATAAGACGATAACAGCAGTAGTATTCAACATACAAACAGCAGAGTATTTATGTGTCAGTAGTCACGTACCTACTGCTAATAGAGAGCACGATGCAGCAGAGTCTGCTATACTAGACGCCTAGTTAAGGAACAGCCAAATGTCATTTGAGGGTCGCTCAGCACGCGATTTGATAGACTACATACCACAGACTCAATTCCAAACTCACTGTCAACACTAATATACACTTAATTAGAAACACTCTGGTAACACCCACATACACTCCGATAGAAACATTCTAACACCCACATACACTCCGATAGAAACACTCTAACACCCACATACACTCAATTAGAAACGCTTTGGTAACATCCACATACACTCAATTAGTACACTCAATTAGAAACACTCTGGTAACACTCACATACACTCAATTTGAAACACTCTGGTAACAACCACATACACGCAAATAGAAAAACTCTGGTAACACCCACATACACTCAATTAGAAACACTCTGGTAACACCCACATGCACTATTAGAAACACTCCGTCACTCACATACACGCAATTAGAAACACTCTGGTAACACCCGCATACATTGTATTAGAAACACTCTAACACCCAGATACACGCAATTGGAAACATTCTGGTAACACCCACACACACTCAACTAGAAACACTCTGGTAACACCTACATACACTCAACTAGAAACACTCTGGTAACACCCACATACACGCAATTAGAAACACTCGGCAACACCTACATGCACACAATTAGAAACACTATTAACATTTACATACACGCAATTAGAAACACTCTGGTAACACCCACATACACTCAACTAGAAACACTGGTAACACCCACATACACGCAATTAGAAACACTCCGTCACTCACATACACACAATTAGAAACACTCTGGTAACACCTATATACACTCAACTAGAAACACTCTGGTAACACGTACAAAACACTCCATTAGAAACAATCTAACACACACATACACTCAATTAGAAACACTCTGGTAACACGTACATACACTCAACTAGAAACACTCTGGTAACACGTACAAAACACTCCATTAGAAACACTCTAACACCCACGTACACTCAATTAGAAACACTCTGGTAACCCCTACATACACTCAACTAGAAACACTCTGGTAACCCCTACATACACTCCATTAGAAACACTCTAACACTCACATACACGCAATTAGAAACACTCTGGTAACACCTACATACACTCAACTAGAAACACTCTGGTAACACGTACAAAACACTCCATTAGAAACACTCTAACACCCACGTACACTCAACTAGAAACACTCTGGTAACCCCTACATACACTCAACTAGAAACACTCTGCTAACACCTACATACACTCCATTAGAAACACTCTAACACCCACATACACTCAATTAGAAACACTCTGGTAACACCCACATACAGGTCCATAGCAATCCGCTCCTTCCGTATACGCCCACAGTTACGCATCCATAATATCTTCAGCTGGTGGTTCAGGCGGAGGTACTCCATCTTTGTGCGCAGTCTGACCTCGCAAGCGTGCAAGTTGACACGTGTGTGGTGCTCTGCGATCACACACCACTCCAGGCGACTGGCTATAGAGGTCTGTCTCAGCGGGCGCAGGGAATAGAAGCCTAGTATCCATTCGTGACGGCGTTGTGTGGCGTCTCTGTGGGGTCAAAAGAGTGTGCGGTGAGAAGCCTGGAGTGTTCGCAGTCACAGCTACAACCTTCTGCGTGCAAGTGCGAGGCGTGGCGGGTGCAAGGATTGCACGGAGAACGATACACGAGTGGTACTTGCGGACAGGCGATGAAGGGCTGGGTCTAGGGTTGCAGCGCACCCGTTCCACTACTGAATACATATACTGGAACAATCACGGTAATCACTGAGGGCACCAATGAAGCGTAGAAGCCTACTATCCATTCGAGATATTCACGCCTTAGCCACCACCGCTAAGTTCAGACTCGCTGCATGGTGGATGCGGTAACTGCACGGATAACAGTATACGGGTGATATCTGCAGACAGGTGATGCAGGGTGTGACTAAACGGCTGTACTGTGTAGAAGCCTGGTTTCCCCACGTGAGGGAGTAGCGGGAGTCTCTTTTAGGCTGGGGTGTGTGGGTGTGGGTGGGTGGGTAGCTGTGTGTGGGTGGGTGGCTATGTGTGGGTGGGTGGCTGTGTGTGTGTGTGTGTGTGTGTGTGTGTATGTCGAGGGCCCTGGCGGATGCGTAACATAGCGCCGTTTGAATTTGAGTTTTGAGTTCGAGCCCTGACGAAGCGATACATGTACTCCAATACAGCATGCGAGAATATAAGCACAAGGGCTATGAATTCGGACGGCTCTCCTCGCATGCGTCTGTCATGATAGTCCAGCTGCAGATAATATGCAGCGCCCAAATCATACGGCCATACCTTAATAGAAGCGTGATTTCATGCAGGTTGGAAACTGACACAGCCAATGCTTGGTTCTCATCCATTTCCACCTCAAGCCTGAAAAAGCGAAGCAGAATGAGTATAGGCACCAACTACTGCTTATCTTTCCACACAATTGCAGCGTTGATATGTAGCCCGTGACAAGCACAGATAAGTACACTTGGTTGTCATAGTGAACCGATAGAATGACCCCACTAGTTTTTTTTTGACTTGATAAAGAGAACAATACTAAAGTGATAGGTCAACAAGCAGACCCGTAGGGCACCTCGCAATAGTAAATGCGTACACATGTATTTTGTTTGTACATCCGTAAAGCGAATGTGTGAGCGCACCCCTACCATTTCACAACTAGCACGCGGATGAGAAGGTAAAAAATACATACCTACTTGAAGCACAGGTACACCCTTGAATGTGTAATCGCACACAGACTTCAATGGGCTACATGTCCAAGGCAACCGGTTCCTCTAGTGATATGGGATACCTCCGTAATGCAAACACATGTGCAGCATATATATATATATATATATATGTGTGTGTGTGTGTGTGTGTGTGTGTGTGTGTGTGTGTGTGTGTGTGTGTGTGTGTGTGTGTGTGTGTGTTGTGTATATATATATTATATNTTATTTATATTATTATTATTAGTTAATTATATATATATAT